CCCCAAAACCCCAAAACCCCAAAACCCCAAAACCCCAAAACCCCTTGGCAAAAAAGCGCAATAGAAATAATATTAGAAAATAAACATGAAGTTCGGCGTCACAGGAAGAGATATTACTGACAAGAGGAAATTCATGAGTAATAAGAAAAAGAGCAACTTTTTGGAAAGATTTAAGGGCCGTACAGTTCAAATGAGCACAGATGGGCATATAGGGATTGTCAAAAATACCCATTCTCCTATTAAACCAACTCATGAAAATACAATGAAAATGTACAATAATCAAAATATGAGTCAGATGAAATCAATCTCCAAGCCATTCTTCCTTCCAAAAGGTGGAAACAGTAAGTGCTTAAACCAATTATTAACCTTCTACTTACATAAATCCATTACAAACTTATGATTAATAACTAATCTCTAGTAGGCAATACGATTAACGCATTTTCTCCCATGAAGAGATCAAATTCTCTTTCAGAAGAATCTCCTCAAATCAATAACAATAGATATTCCACCTTCAAGCAAAATTATAACCAAGTTGAAAGAGCATTTGGAAATGGCCATAAATAAATTAGAACATAAAAGATCCCTTGCAAATGCTGGAGGCCAGATCATGAGTGCAAGCACTAGTTCTTTGCATGAATATCCTAAGATGCATTCCAGCAAGTCTACCGTAGCTGAAGATACGATGAAAAATTCGGCTCTGAGCTATAAAAAGGAGATATATGCACCTAATTCAAGTAAGAGCAACCCAAGTTCCTTCAATGACTTAAGAAACCCAAACAATCGGTCGATGGGAAAGGATCATTTAGATTCTCATAAAAATAGTTTCAATTTATCCAAAACTGGAAGTGTTCAACCATGTTCTAAGAAAGAAATAAACGCATTTTAAGCAGAAGCCAAGAGGACCTTTCCCAGTCAAGGAATTTATCAATAGTGGAAATAGCAATGGATTTACATCAGTCTCAACTCCTATGAATATGAAAGGAAAAAGTTCTAATACCTCTAAAAATCTTAATTATAAGAATCATAAAGATCAGATAGATGCTGAATTAACTATCTTACGAAGATCTATCCAAAACAGCAGGCAGTCATTCTCTGATCTATGGTACAACACTCTCTTCTTCCTCCTAACCCTCTTTCTAGTCAAACCCACAAACCAGAACACCTAAACCTCACCAGAAAGAGAAACTCAATCGGATTCCCCGGCCAAGACCCCCAAAATACCCCTTTCTCTAGCACAATGCCCCAAAAAATCCCCTACCCGAACCCAAGAATCCCCCTTCAAAACCAAAACTCCACTTAAAAACTAACCTATCTTCATCATAACACCCAAAATCTCAACTTTCCTTCCATACACCCATAACTCTCACCCATTCATTACCAGAACTCCAGTCATTTCTGACTAAAATCCCATATTTCCCGTACAACTTTTAAGCCAAAATGCTTGCCCCAGCTGTAGCTTAAGGAACAGGAGGAGGTAAAGAGGCAAGCGCCAGAAGAAGCTAGAAGGGAGCTTTAGAGGAGAATGAGTGGGGATAAGGGCTGGATGGGGTGAATTATAAGATTCAGTGGGAAAGGTTAAATTGGGGTTTTGGGGTTTTGGGGTTTTGGGGTTTTGGGG